ACATATAAGTTACCAAATTAAGTAAAATTTACCTGATTTATTCACAAATCTTCATATTTTTAATAACTTTTACTAGATAACGAGTAAATATCACTTGAATTTGTGGCATTTAAATTTACTTAACCAACATTAGTGCAATTTCTTACAAGGATTTTTCTAGCAAATCTTACAAGTTCTTTATAACAGTGCACATGCATCAAACACAATATTGTGGCATGACACCTCACAGCTACAGAGAGAGGTGTGGCTCATGTTGTTGTAGTTCAAGACTTCACCACCAGGTGGTGGTTTTGAAGAACCTTTATTGGATTCTTCTTCATGAACAACACAGACAAAGTGAAACTCACAGGTCTTATTAATGACTAGGCCTACCACTCTCACTTATGGTTACTTCTGCTGAACGGTTTAACACAAATTAACAAATAATGAACACACAAATTAGAGTAACACAACAGACTAATCGCTGAAAGAACAATGTTAACCTATTCCCTAAAATGATTTAACAACAACAAACATGAATCCAACCCACGATCCTCCACTGCAGTCACATGACAAACAGCCAAACACAGCAGAATGCTACAATATGCATTCCCTGTTCCCTGACAACTAAATATCACCTACATTATGACATCAAACTATTGCACACCAACAAATGTATTCAARCAAAAGAAACCAGACAACTTATGTTTTATTTCGACCATGTTTTGTCCTCTCCTTGAAAAGTGAAGCAAGGGAATGAGGAGCAGCAGTCTTTGTGTGTGCATGCGCCCTCAGTTTTAGCCCAGAAGAGTAGAAGTTACTTAATATATTCATGTTTATGTGCTGTCCAGAAAAAAAAAACACTTAAATATCACTGGTAAAATAATATTAGCATTTTTTTCGTACAGTACTATTGATATATAATATTATGTGTATTGTTTATTTAGTAAATTCTAGTAGTTTAGAGATTTTTTGTAAAATTTAAAAGAATAATTAAATAAATGTTACTAAACCCAAAAATCCTTTTTTCTCAGTGTAGGGTAAAGAGTGAATAGTCGGTGTGTATCTCCTATTTTAAACACCTTACAATAAAGGGGTTCATGAATTTTTAAAAATAATCTTAAAAAATGTATCCTGGCCAAGTTTCATGAAAATATTCTTTAAACTGACTGAAATATTTGGAATCAAAAATAGAAAACTAGAATATTGTACACTTTTGGAACTCTACTGTGCCCCATGGGTTAAATAAAGGTTAATGAATATATTAATTCAAAATGTGTTGCTGTTGAATATTTCAACAAACAATTCCTATTTTTCTATAATCTAAACTGATTGCTGTAGAACCTGGTTAACCTGCCACAAAGGGGCGCTCAAACCTAACTTGACAAAGTAGTAGTAGTAGTAGTAGTAGTAGTAGTAGTAGTAGTAGTAGTAGTAGTAGTAGTAGTAGTAGTAGTAGTAGTAGT